GAGCCGAGTTATTTATATTTAGCAGCAAGCAACATAGATATACCATAATACAAATACATATCATGTAATTTCTTGTTAAAAATCAATAACCAAAAATTATTTTTTTAAAGAACCGAATTCTTAAATATACAAAAAATGACAAAAATCAGATCATAAATATAAACAGATATACAATTAAAAATAAGCCTCCAAATGTTTTTGTTATCCTTTAAAACAAATATTCATTAATTTACATCAAATTAATTTTACGGTGTTTCAACATAGCAAAGTTGTCAATTTATCAATAATAGTTTAAGGTACGATGTTGAAGTTTCTATTAATGTACATTAGTGCTAAACCATTTACATAAACGACATTTGAGTATTTTCATTGCGTTGAATGATCGCTCAGCGGAGCAAGTTGTTTGTTATAGGCAGCGTTATGGCGATTTGAAAAAGTTGCTTCACATGAACGAACGTTTTGGGTATATTCTTTAGAACATCGAGAAGATCTTCTTCTGATTGATTCAAGTCATTGTAACGCAAAAATTGTCTAATTTTATGTACAATTCTAATTCACCGTAATTTAGCATTGCACCGGAGGTATCGAATATTTATTTAAAGACGGCGTTTTCAATAGAGGAGCCCATTAATGTTCCCGCTAAAGAAAAAGCAGGATTTGGTTGTTGAGTAAACTTGGCGCAAATTTTTACGCTGATTGCATTGATATATGGATACCAAATTATTCTTTTAAAATATTCATTAGCATTCATTTCCTCTAGATGCCCTGTGTTGCTGTCTTGATGTGCTTTAGGCTCAACTAATTCAATTCTCGCAGCTTTAGCAAATACACTGTAATGTATAGTACAGACTTGTCATCATCCCATACAGTCATCAGGACGCCACAGTTGAAGTTGATATTTAATGTTTTTAACAAGTTTCATTCTCTCAAAGTAATTTTTAACTAAGGTTTACAGTTGTCTTGAAAGTACAGCGTTAAGAGCCATTACTTTTCTTGCTGCGAAACACAAAAAGTTTAGCTAGCGAAACCCAAAAACTTAGCTATTGAATTCGTTAGTATTAATGCGACGGACTTAGTTTTTGAATCAAACGAGACACTTTCTGTTGTTTGCTGCAAACCATCATTAATACAATAAAAATTATCACAAAATCTTATCAGCACATCGTGACGCTGTACAAATCTCGTGTCACAATAAGTCAAAAATGTTTAATCAAATTGACGTCGACACTTTTGGTGATTCATTAATAAAATTAATCATTTCAAAAACTTTACAAAACATATTTTTACAACCGTGATGTCGAGATGGAAACTAATAGTTAGGAATTGTTAAACTTGTAAATTAATTACAGGAATGAGATTTGATGCGAATTCGTAAATGTGATTTATGTAGCTATTTGGATAAATTTATTGTATTTTACTGCTGGTATTCAAATAAACGTTTAACTTAATTTGCGTTTGAAGTAGTTGTGTTCATTTATCGGAATCTGGAACCTACGGATAAACAAACTCTTGACTATCGTTGGAAGCTACAACACGGTGTTGGAGATAAAGAGATTATTGAAGCTATAACATCGGTGTTGGTAGTTACGAGGTCGAGAAGGAGTTACAACACTTGTGTCAGAAGTGGGATCTTCAAGGTTACAACACTGGTGTCAGAAGTAAGATTTTTGATAGCTTGAAACTCACTGCAATGAAGAATGCCAGTGCTAGAGGAACCCAATATAATTAGTCTGAAGAAAGAAGCTACAGAGACTGATCGAGTCACCCGTTTAATTAGCACATAATGGACAACAGACGGAAACGAAAAGGATCAAATTTTAGGGAAACGGACAACAGGAGTTTGTTTGTGTTTGACATTCAACGATTTATACAGATGTTCGCGGATATGAAGGCTGATACCGACCGTCGAGCTGAAAAGCAATTTGTGGCAATAATGGCTTATACCGACCGTCTAGCAGAAAAGCAGTTCGCGGAATTGAAGGCTTATGAAGACCGCCTAGCAGAAAAGCAATCCGCTGATGTTGACCGTTGAGCGGAAAAACAATTCGTGGAAAGAAAAAAGCAATCCACTGAAATAAAGGCTGAAATGAAACAACAAAACGCTAAAACGACGGCTAAAAACGATGAACAATTCGCTGAAATGACGGCAAAAATCGATCCACAGATAGCCGAATCAAGAGAAAGGAGAGCCGAATTACGAGCGGCCAATGGAATAATACAACCAACCTTCGAAAGAATATCATCTAGCGAAGAGACGGTTGAAACAGCTATACCAGAAACGGCTACACAAGAGCTGGCAATTATTCTACTAGCGTATTTACCAACGGATGATGTCGACAACTACGACGCACGTGACTACTACGACGCACGTGTTAACTGTGATGCACGTTATATCTGCAATGCACCTGACAACTGTGATGCACGTGACAACTATGATAGGTGAGCAAAGATAGACTGGACAAACTTGAAAAAGATCTTAATGAAGTAACAACAGACAGAAATACTCTCAAGAGTAAAGGTCAAAGTCATCAAAGAAACTTAAAGAAATTGAAAGACCGAAACAGGAGCATACAAATGAGATGAAAGAGCGGGAAGATGAGAATGACATAAGAGTGAAGCAGATCCAAGTAAAGACGGAAGAGAAGGAGAAACAGTCCAAAAATAGCTATACCGTATCGTTAGAAAAGTTTGAAGATGAAAGTCGAGATAGACTGAATGAACTACAAGATGAAATTGAAGAAGTGAAGAACGACTTGAAATTGAAGATCTGACGAACGACTTGAAATTAAAGATCTGACGAACGACTTGAAATTGAAAGAGGAATACATTGATGAACAGAGCACACAAATTGATGACCTTAAACTAATAATGGAGAATTCATCAATTCAAGTGGAGAATTCATCGCCCGGATCAATGACGTGGTGTATCTGGTCCGAGAACGAGGTAAGCCTCGGATCAAAATAAAGATCGTTCTCAGAATCAGAAGATCAGCGCAACGAAGGGAATTGACCAAATCAAGGACGATTTTTGGTCTCAGTGGCGGGCAATGTCACAGCCGTGAGGTTGAGGTGGAGACTAATAGTTAGGAATTGTTAAACTTGTAAATTAATTAGAGGGTTGTAAATTCAGTTATGGACTTGACACTTTTATGAGACACATTTACAAGCACATCGGTAGCTATATTAACAACGAAGAAGCAGAGAAGGACTACAACAGGAAAGAAAAGGACGGAACAAAGTTGAGTGATAACAGTTGACTTAGAAGTGAGATTAGATGTGAAGTCGTAAATGTGATTTATGTAGCTATTTGAATTATTATATTGTTTCTATTACTGCTGGTATTCAAATAAACGTTCAACTTAGTTTGCGTTTGAATTGGTTGTGTTCATCCACGGTGTTGGAGATATAGAGGTTATTGAAGCGATAACATCGGGGTTGGAGTTACGAAGTCGAGGAGGTTACAACAATATTTTAAATAGAAGAAATCGTCGACGCTCGGTTTCCTAATGGTAAACCGATTTTCGTGAAAAAATAATCGTTTTAACTATTGGTATCAACCGTTTCCTGTTTTCATCAGCTTGTTCTTTTTGTTTTATATTTAGTTAGTAAATTATTCATTTATTTGCCTTTGAATTTTTAGCAACTTAACAAACTCGTTACCATTTTTCTTGGCGTTTTTGTGATATTCATTTGATCATGAATTTTTTCATATTTTGAAAAAGGTTTCAACGCAAAAAAATTTAATACTGTTGTTTTTCAATCAATCATCGTTTAGCGTCCAGAGAACCAGTTCTCCTGAGGTAGGACGTGTTTTCTTTGCCATCAATTTTTTGCGCCAAATTAGGCGATCAGTTGTATCCATTTAATTTAAATTTAGAGCTTTCATGTCTTGCTCGATTGTTTGTGACCAGGACTTCTTTCGACGGCCTTTAGGACGTGCACCAGGTACTTCAACATCTGCAAGAGAAGTTATAGCACTGTTTCCACTTCGATTGACATGCCCAAACCACCGCAGACGGTGTTGCCGGCGTTCGTCCTTTATATCATCTAAACCAGCACGACGCAGGATTTCCGTAGACTGGATTTGATTCTTCAGACTAATTTGTTGCATCCATCGGAGCATTTTCATATCAGTTCGTTGAAGTTGTTTTTCCAGTTTGGTTGTCATTGGCCATGTTTCTGCACCCTATAACAACACCGGACGTATCACAGATTTATAAAGTCTTGATCGTAGTGGTAGTGGGATGTCACGCCGCATCAATATAGAGGCAAGGAGATGCCAATTATTTTAGGCTGCACGTATGCGTGCTTGAACGGCAGCTTCAGCTGTTCCAGTACAATCCTGAACATCTCCTAAATATTGAAACGATGTGACTTTCTCTACCTTAATGGCTTCAAAAACAGTGCTATTTCAAATTTGTTGTTGTGGATTGATGCAAGCAAGACAAACAAAATCGGACACTTTAGATAAAGTACCAATTATTTTTGAACAACGTTTTTGACGCCACAGGTTACACTGCTGAAACTTGATTGAATTGTTACCTACACCAGCTTTACATACTGAACAGGGCCATCGTCCAGTAGCTGTGGATTGGATGGGTTCACCAGTGTTCATTGCTTTGGTTTTGCTGATGTTGACTTTGAATCCATGATCGGCGAGTCTGGTGTTCCAATCTTCAAATATCTGTGTTGCATTCTGCTCAGACGTGGCTGTTTAAACGATATCATCAGCATATATTAGATTCCAAATGTCACCAGTGCGTATCGGCTTTGTGATTTCTTCCATTACAGTTATAAATAACAGTGGACTGAGAATCGAGCCTTGGTAAACTCCAACGCTGATGTCAAATGCATCGGCTTTGTGATTTCTTCCATTACAGTTATAAATAACAGTGGACTGAGAATCGAGCCTTGGTAAACTCCAACGCCGATGTCAAATGCATCTGTGTTTCCAACCGTTGTGCTGACAAGAGTCTTAGTATTCGTATACATTTCCATCACAAGTCGAACAAGGTATTCTTGCTGCCTTTCCATCCTTCATAGCTTTCTGTAAGCTTCTCTACATGATGTTTGAAATCGAACCTTAGATGGGTGGAGCGTCAAAGTTGACATTGATGGGATTTGTTTCATTTAACAGACGGTTGAAATATTCTTTCCAATCTATAGTTTAACTTAATGGGATGTACCGTCGAATAGTAAACTTCGATCGAACTTCTTTAGATGATGATGCACTTCGGACAAACTTCTTTGGACGATGATGCGCTTCGAATGCACTCTGAATGAACTTCTTCGGACGATGATGCACTTCGAACAAACTTCTTTGGATGATGATGCGCTTTGAATAAATTTCTTCAGATGACGATACATTTCGAACGAACTTCTTCGGATGATGATGTACTTCCCTCGCAAAGTCGATGGCCTCCTCGTCTCCGTTGACCTAAATATCTGAATGATTCAATAAACCAACACCAGAATGAATCTTTTTTTGTCTCCCCCTATGTTGGAGTATATATAGCCTTTGCCTTCTTCATACATCCGATTATGACATACAATTTATATCGGACGATATCGAAACGTTCATCGGCGAACAAATACGGCACCAAATGTATAAACTGGCGCCTCTTGTGTGAGCTCATCATTTTCATACATCGCGAATGCGCCTGCCTTTATTCGTCATACATACTGTAACACTCGATTGAAAGTAGGTTACAGTGAACAAAAGTTTAAGCTGTTTGCATCATGTCTTTGTTCTCTATTGGAAACTGTACCAAAGTTTAGGCGTGCTCGATCACTATTGGTTGTTGACCATCGACAGACTCTGCAAAGCCTGTAAAAGTGTGTCACGGGATAAAAATAATTCAGCATCACAGTGTGCGCATAACGTACGCGCCTGTCTTTGTTCATCAACTATAACCGGGACAAAATTTAACCGAGCTTGGTTACTGTTATCATCAGATTTTACAAAGCCCCCCCTCTACTGAATGTCGTTCTCGACGTTTGCTCAACCGGTATCAAAAGTCGTTCTTACCCAACCCAAGGTCTAGGAACATTTCATCCTCAGGTGGCTGATCCCTTCATTTTCTTTGGGCAGGGGCTGCCCGCGTTGGATCCGCTGTCTTGGTCCACCAACACGTTCGGCGTCATTAACACAATGTTTGATGACCATCGTCCTTCTCGCCGGTCCTCGATGACAGACTCCCATTCATCCATCTCCGCAAAGTCATTCTCCCAAATGGATTGCAACGCGTTTTTCTTCCTCCTGTGCTCTACCAGAAATAATCCGTCAGCAACCTCTGTACACGCCTTATCGTGCATCATCGCACCGGATTCCTGACTAGTCGCGGGAAATTCAGACCGGGCTCCTTCTAAGTTTTCTGTGTGGTTGATTGCGGAAAGTTTAGACGGGACTTCTTCTAAGTTCTTTGTCTGGCTTTCAGCATTCTTCGTATCAGATGAAACTGCCGCTGTTGATTGTTTACCATGTGACACTGTAATTTCCGGATCCAAACACTTCTCTTCGCTGGGCTCCATGGGTGAAAGGCTGTCAAAAACCAGAAATTGCTTGACCACCTTCCTGGCTTTTGCCACGAGTTTTTCTTTACCTGGTTGTACCCTGACCCATATCAAACCCGGGCAGAAGACGCGCCGTTAGTTCACACATCGCTGCCCTAGCAATAACAAATCTTTTCCACAGATCTACAGTTGATATTGAGGGAAAATTAGATTTCATCTCCGTCAACCATTGATTGTTCGCTTGGCTCTGATATGCCAACCATCGGCCAACTGCTTTTAACTCTTTGTTCAGCACAGTTCCTGGCTTCATTACTGCCGTAAACCTCGCCTCGTGTCGCTGCAGGCTCTTCTTCTGCATCCTCCTCCCACATAACGTGCAGTTTGCGGTACATGGCCGCTGCTTTGAGACGTTCTCGCGCCAGTTGATGCGCCTTCAGGATACTTTTCTGTATTTCGTCAACAAACTCGTTATGCGAACCAATGTTCGTCACGTTGCTAGGCAGCTGGTAAACAAGGTTGATCGGCATGACATTCTCTCTACCTAAAAACAAACGGTTCGGAGTGAAGCCCGTTGCAGAATGCACGCTTGCCCTGTAAGCCGCCATGACAAAAGGAAGGCATGCATTCCAGTCGTTGTGTGAGTCTTGTACTACCTTCGCCAACATCGAATTCAGCGTCTTGTGAAACCTTTCGATTGCTCCGTTAGCAGATGAATTGTACGGTGACGTGCGTATCTTCTCGATGTCGAATCTGCAGAGTAATTCGTTGAATAGACTGCTCTCGAACTCACGACCTTGATCCGTAAGGATTTGCCTCGGCATTCCGAACCTAGGGAAAATTTTTGTAGTTAATACTTTGGCAACTGATGCCACCGTATGCCTCCTCAATGGAAATGCTTCGGCCCATTTTGTAAAATGATCTAGAATCGTCAGAATGTAAACGTTGCCCTTCTTCGATTTGGGGTGCGATTCCGTGATGTCCAGCGCTATCCGTTCCCAGGGTACCCCTGACAACATGACTTTCATAGTTGCATGGCGTGGTGGTTTCCCTCTGTAATACTTGCAACACTTATCACAACTTTTTACAAACGCTTCGACATCTGACTTCCACGATGGCCAATAAAATCTATGCTGTGCAATTTCTTTCAATTTTGCAATCCCCAGATGTCCTCCGGTCACACCTGTATGGGCAGCTAACAAAATTGATTTCACCACATTTTTGGGTACCAAAACTTGCCACGCTACATCGTTTGCGGGCATCACATCGAACCGTCTACACAGCAGTCCATTTTTCATTTCCAAACGCTCCCATTGATGCCAGAGTGTTTTGAACATTTCGCTTTCACCAGAAACATCATCCCACGACGGCTTCTGAGCGTTCACAGAAATCTTCTTCATTAGTGGCCCTATGATGTTGTCTTTTTTTTGAGCTTCTTTCAGATCCGTAACGCATTCCACAACTTTCACTTGTTTAACGACTTGGCTATTGTCATTGCAACACGTCTTCTTACATGGCTTTCTTGACAACGCGTCGGCGTTTCCATGTCTAGTCCCCGCTCTGTGTAGAATGTCGAAATTGAATTCCTCCAGCTGTTCCAACCACCTGGCTTGTTGTCCGATTGGATCAGGGGTGTTTCGCAACCAGGTTAGTGGTGCATGATCTGTACTGATTGTGAAATGTCTACCTAGTAAATATTGCTCAAAAAATTTAAGAAAATACACCACAGCCAATAGCTCTTTTCTAGTCGTGCAATAGTTTTCCTCAGCTCGGCTTAGAGTCCGGCTGGCGTAAGCGATGACTCTCTCCTTGTCTTCTTGAACTTGCGACAGAACAGCTCCGATGGCTCGATGCGAAGAGTCAGTGTCCAGAAAGAAAGGATCGTATTCGTTTGGCTTGGCTAGTTTTGGCGTTGTCGTCAGAACACATTTCAATCTTTCGAACGCCTCTTGTTGCCTTGGTCCCCACCGGAATTTTTGACTTCCCCTGAGCAGTTCATTCAATGGCTTGGCTATTTCTGAGAACCTTTGTACAAACCTGCGATAGTAGCCGGCTAAACCTAAAAATCCTCGAACTTCTGTCAGCGTCGTAGGAGTTGGCCAGTCACGAACGGCTTCTGTTTTCTTGTCATCTGTCGCGATACCTTCGCCTGACATTACATGGCCCAGAAAGGCCACTGAAGATCTTAAAAATTCACATTTCTTCATCTTCAATTTCAATCCGGCTTTTTTCAATCGCAGAAAAACTTGTTTCAACCTAAAAAAAAAAATGTTCCTGTAAATTTTTCGAATAAATTGTAATGTCATCGATATAAGCCAGACACGTATTAGGGCATAAGTCTGACAAGACTAAATCCATCAACCGCTGAAACGTGGCCCCAGCGTTGCACAGACCAAAAGGCATTCTTTTGAATCGAAACATGCCCTTGTTGCATACGAACGCCGTCTTGTCTCTGTCCTTAAGATGTATCTCGATCTGGTGATAGGAAGATTTGAGATCCAGCGTTGAAAACCATTGTGCCCCTGACATGGCGTCTAAACAAACGTCGATCCTTGGCAGAGGATAGGCGTCCTTCACCGTCAAAGAATTCAGCCTTCTATAGTCGATGCAACAACGATATGAACCGTCCTTCTTCACCAGTACTATATTTGAAGACCACGGCCCATGTGCGGGTCAATCAC